TTTTGTATTCCCCTGCCTCTCTTCTCTAGAGGCTACTCCATTACAACAATGCTTCCTGCCCCCTCCACACACCACCTTGTTCCACAGCCCTTTAAAACAGCAGAAAGCAGCACATGGCTTGGACAGTTTTGCTGTTGCCTGATCTGAGCTGCTGTGTTTCCCTGCTGATGACAAATACAGCAGCTCCCTAACAACAGCTTCAAATGACATTATGTGTGGGCTGTATTGGTAACAACCTGGAAACACAGCCTGTGTCCTCCACTCTGGAGCCCCTCTGCTATCACCATTCACCACCCTTCCAGTTTTCCTCCTGAAGATCCACTGCAGAGCAGAAAGGTCACACCGAGTGGGTCCACAGCTGCCCCGGACCATCGTTGTGTGGTTGGGTTTGGTGGGTACGGGTGTGTGTGTATGGAGGGTCCTTGGCAAGGTGCAGATGCCCTCTCCCAGCCTGACCTGTGTGCAGTTAGGTGAATGTGTCGCTTCCTTGGTCCTCATGCTTAGGCTCAGCGGTACACACAGGTCTGGATGTGTGGGCATCTGGGTGGGTGGCCCCATATGGTCTCATCACACATATAGCTGCTTGAATCTGTGCGGGGCATGAATATGTGTGTTTATGCACATCCATGCTGTTGCATGTACACACACATGCATGCAATCATGCAATAAACACTCATTTGCATGCGCAGCACATACAAATGCCGCTCTCTATCTGCTCTTGTGCGCTCCGACGTGTGCACACGAACTCTCTGACAGAATGGGTTCCCCGTCTCTCTATCACCCCATCTGTAATCACAGATTGTTTGCTGGGAAGAGGATTGCACAATGCTGCTGAAATCATTGCAGCCCTTTCTAGTCTTGCAGCTCTGATCACTACGTGACAAGAATGAAACCTTTTGTGCAGCACAGGGCTTGATGGAGCCCTTATCTCTGTGTCTCTGCACACAGAATAGAAAAACTCTTTTCCGTACCTGACTGGAGCAAATCCCCCCTGAATAGACCCAGACTTTCATTTAACCACTGCACATTGTGCCCATGGCCTCTGGGTTGCCCCAGAGTTAACCACAGAATTGTTAAGGAGAGGGAGAGGGATCACAAGGGCAGTCAGCTTAATGCCATTACCACAGAAAACTCTGGGGATTCACCAACAGGGAGACAGTGCTGAGAAAAGAGCAGAGGTCAGGAGGCAGTGACCTCCTGACCATCATTCCAAATGCCTGTTCCTACGAAAAACAGCCTTTAAATCAGTGGTGATAGTTTGAAGAATTTTGTGTAATTTGTTTTCTCCTCATGAATTTGGGCAATAAATGCCTTTTCTTTCCCCTTCCCCCACTCTTATTTTCTGTTCATCTTCATTTTTTATTTTCCCAATTTGTCACTGCAAAACAGGATACCGCCTAGGGGGGTGAAGAAAACATTAGACAGAAAAATGTGATGTTTGTGTCTCTTTTCTTTTAAATCCCTGTTTAATCTAAAGATCTCCTTTTTTTTTTTTTTTTTTTGCAGATCTCCCCGGAACACATTTTGTTTGCCCCAGCAGGCTGCCCTGCAGAGCTGCCTTGGTGGGAGCTCAGATTCTGTGTGTCAAAATGATGTCTCCTTGGCACACTTGCTTGATGCTGGCATTGCAGTGCTTGGGCTCTTAAGGAATGTTGGTATTTTAAGAAGCCAACCAGTCGACAGAGTTTCTTGAATGGTGATTTGCAGCAGATGGAGCTGCAAAGGCATGTGAAATGAAGTCTCAGCTCAGTTTGGTGGTGAAGGAGACTGTCTCTGTTAAGTGTTGGCAGCTGGGGAACTCCCCCCATCTCCCCATGGCAGCTGGGCTGCCACTCTATGGATAAGAAAACCCATCCTATATGTGTCCCCCACCCACCTGACCTGCTTCTGCAAGGTCCTTGCTCACAGTCACATGCCTTCTTCAGTGCCTGGTCATCAACCACGAGCAGTGCTACCAGCTCCTCAGATAATACAATTTCTGCTCTGTCCTACTGACAGGGGAGTCCAGCACTCACCTGGCTCTGCTCCTCTCTGCAAGAGGAGCAACACAGATCAGAGTTTGAAGTGCTGTGTTGTCCATCTATCTGACCATTTGGTAGTCAGACCTGTTAATCTTTCCACCATCCAAGCCCTTCCCATCTTTTTTGCTGCCCCTTACAGAGGCAGAAGCTTGGGCAGTGTATCCTTATTCTGCCAGAATTTCTTGGTTGTGTTTCATCCAGTAGATGTTGCGGGAGCTCCCCAAGAAACTAAAACAGAGGCTTTTTTTAGTCCAACAAACTGTATCCCACGCCCATGAATAGTTTGGCTGGTTTTCTGACTGGGGCCCACAGTGTGGGAAGCTGATGCATGGATTGAAGGAGAAAAAGATGTAAAGACATAGCAGAAGATAGAAACTGGCCACCAAGCTCTTTCTTTTCCCTGTGAGCTGAGCCTGCACTCCTGGGTGTCTGGCTGCCCGTGCTCAGGTGAGTGTTGTAAAGGCAGCTGAGCAGTTCCTGTGAGGTCTGGCAGGCAGCTCAGCTCCTGAGGCTTGGCACCAGCATCCCAGGCTTAAAGAGGAAACATGAGGATGTAGGATTTCATGGGACAATCTTTGTCATGGAGGTGATGGCAGTACCAGTGGCTGAGAGCACAGCTGAATGTGTCTTGGTTGGTTGTGTCTGCAGTCCCTGCCCACCCTTCCTCTGCTCTCTAACTGGGGTCAGAGATGTCTGTTCACCTGACACCCCGTGAGAGTCCTTTTCCAAAGTCGGGTGCCCTGAACTGCAGCTCTGATGTTGGCTATGCCTTCACATCTTCTCACATTGCCTTTGTGTAACCTTGACCCTTGCTTCCTCATAAAGTGGTACTGTTCCCACGATCCTCAGCTGCTGCAGCTTGTTCTGCTTCCCAGCCCAGGCTTTTGGCTTTTGTCCCAGCACACCCAACCCCATGCCACTCCTTCCCTTCTCTTACCTTCTCTCAAGTGACCCCTGAGATATCTTTCCATTACCTAGACAACTTCCATAACTGACCCTCCACAAGTCACCTCCTGCAACATCTCCTGACTCCAGGGAGGCATGTGTCTTTCTGGTGGCTCCTTCCTTCCCATTTCTTAAAACTGTTGAGAAAACTGCCCAAAGGGCTGCAGTATGGGGGTCATTTCGGTGGCTGTAGCTTAGCAATAGCATTCATGCAGAAGTTAAAAGTGTGGGGACAGATATTTTAGCAGAGCTGCAGGAATGAAGCCAAAATGGAGAGGGAGACTTTCATCCCACCCACCCTTGTACAGTGCTGCTCCTCTAGCCTGCACACTCAGATGGGCACATCCACATCTTCCCTCCAACAACCAGTGCACAGGAGCAAGCATCCAACTCCACAGCAGCATATTCGCTCTCCAGCTCTTATCCAAGCATTCACATCCTCATTTAAACATCCTGCAATTACACTCCCTCATCTGTGTTTGTGTACACTTACACACATGCATATCCCTTAGGTACCCCTGTACACATGTGCACACCCCCAGCGGATGAGCATCAGTGCCCAAGACTGGCACCAGCCCCCACCAGCCCTGACTCCTCGGTGTCCCATCCTCTTCAGCCATCCCCATACATGTACAGTCCAGGGAACAAAGTTTTGCCTACAACTACCTTTGTGCACATGCAGACACATTATTTGTTCACCATCCTGAGCCAAATACTCTACCATTTCCCACAGGATAAACTGGTTCCTAGTATTGCCCAGAGTTTTTACAACCACAGCTCACATACACTGGAAATCCCCTGACCTCTGTCAACTTCCTGCCTCCATTCTGTACTAAGAGATGCCTTCATCTCCTGTATCAGCCAAACATAACTCCATGCAGAGACTGACTCAACTCAAAGGCATTGTGTATTCTCAGAAGAGCCAAATCTATAGCACAAATCACTCCCCTAAACACATAGAATGGTCTTGCCTACCTGGCCTTCTAAGTTCAAAGACATTTTCTTTATTTACAGTGAAGCTTAAGGAGAAGAAAAGAAATGCTGCCTCCAACTCATGTCTCATTGTCTTTTTCTTTACCCTTGCTACACTTCCCACTAGGGTACAGAGGCAGCAGGACAACCCTGAGGAATGCGAGGTGCAGGGAATAAATGTTCCATTTTTTTTCTCCCAGGTAAGTCCCAGTATCCTGCCCAGAGTCCATAAGAGCTCTGAAAAGAAAGAGGAGGTTTTGAGCAGTCAGTGTTCTCCAGCCATGATCAGCACAGGCAGGAAATCTGTCCTCAAGACATTTTGAAGAACTAGAGAGGGGCCAGCCATGCATGTAACCGGCTGGTATGTCTTTGCTGCAGACATTTCTCCCTCCTGTTCATTTTTTGGGGTAAACCACTTCTCATGTTTATAAGCAGCATAGTCAAGGCACTGGGTTGCCTACACGTGGTATATGCCATTTGGGGACTTCCTCGAGGTGCCACCATGAGATGGCAGCCTACGCCCTCCAAAGCTGGATCATCTAAGGGCAGATCATCGCTTCAGGGCTGACCTTGCTCTCTCTGTACTCTCAGTGCTCATCACCTTTTCAGCTCTCCCTAAATGCAGTCTGCTTTTTACTTGGTGTTGCCAGATGAACAACTCCTGGTGGCCAATATGATGCTTATTCTTCAAAACCCACTGGCCTATGGAACTGTACAATGTTATTCTATAGGAAGAAGAACTTGAAAGCAACCAGCCCAGTTATGCCACCTTCTACCAGTTCACCAAGCAGTCAGGTATGACTTAGGGGTCACCAGCAAGAAGGAACCACCAAGAGACTCTCAGGACAGAGGAACACATGTGTAAAGGAGAGGGAAAATACATCAATGATTTTGGGGAAATTAATATCATATGCATGTTTATTCTGGGAAAATCAATGAGCATGTGTGTAAAATATAGTATATAAATAGGAGCTTTTTCTGTATTCAGCATGCATGATATTTTGAAGGAGATAACCCCTTTGCATCCAGCCAAATAAAGAATGCCTGCCTGTTAATGTTACATTAGTGTTAAGGAGGTTTTATTTTTTACCTATTTCTGGTAACACTGATACCACACAAACCTCAGGTGTCTCTTCCAAAGCCAAGAACAATGCCTTGCTTTTTCCACAAGATCATGGAGCCCTATTCATCTTTAAGCATTCTCTCAGACTTTATTATTCCCTTGTATCGATGTCTCCCATTGCCTTTAAAAGCAGAGAAGGTGAAGGGGATCCCATGTCCCGATGTCTCTTTCCCCTGCACCACCTCTTTCATCATAAATAACTGACATGCAACTTGTTGCTCTTTTCACATCCCGCAGGCTCTTCAGGGAGTGGTTTTTGCTCATTGCTTTTTCCTTCTCCACTGCTTAGAGGGTGCTCCTGCCTGTCATTTCCATTCTGTGTGATCTTGCTGATCTCACCCTCTTCCCTTTCGTCATCAATCTTCTCTGGGGGGCATGCTGGCACCTCCTGGCTCTGGACTCGGCGGGATGGCCTGAAGATGGCCCTGCGGAAGCCCTGCTTGAAGCGGTAGGAGAGGAAGCCGTAGATGATGGGATTGGCACAGCTGTTGGCATACGGCAACACCACCACAAGGAAGTAGACTCCAAAGAGGGATGGCTCCTCTGACAGAGGGCAGACAACATTGATTATGTTGAGGACGTAGAAGGGAAGCCAGCAAAGGACGAAGACAGCCACCACGGTCACCACCATGCGGGTCACTCTGCGCTCGGAAAGCTTGTGCTTGGAGGACAGAGCCCTCACCCGCCTGCCAGAGGAGCGAACCTTCACAACAATCAGGAGGTAGCAGAGACAAATCACCAGCAGTGGTCCAAAGAAGCCCAGGGTGGCAGTGTAGACGATGAAGCCAGCTCTCCACACTGAGGCGGGCTCTGGCCACTGGATGTGGCATGTACTCATCCCTAAAGGGACATCTGAGAAGACAACCACGGGCAGCACTACTATGGAAGACAGCACCCACACGGTTACACTGACGGCCTTGGCCACCCGTGCTGTCCTCCATTTGGAGGACTTCCCTGGATGGACCACAGCCAGGTAGCGGTCAACGCTCATCACAGTCAGGCAGAAGATGCTGGTGAACTGGTTGATGGCATCCACGGCCATCACCAGGCGGCACATGAAAGAACCAAAGGGCCAGTAGGACAGGGCATTTTGAGCAGCCAGGAAGGGCAGGCCCAGCATGAAGAGCTCATCAGCCAGGGCCAGGTTCAAGATGTACACATTGGTCACTGACTCGCTCACGGAGTGCCGCAGGACCACATAAATGACCAGGGAATTCCCAGCCAACCCCACCACACAGACAATGAGGTAGACCACGGGGATGAGGACACCGCTGACAACTACACCAGGGCTGACGGTGGATGAGCTGTTGGGGGTAGTGAAGCCTGTCCAGCTACTGGAGGCATTCCCCTCCTCCAACACTGCTGGCGTGGGGAGGCTAAAAGCAGAAGTGTCCATAGCAGAGGCAGGGAAGAGGGCAGGGGGCAGTGTCCTTGCAGGATCAGTTAGCAATCTGGAGCTGAGGGGAGGAGAAAAAAAACATTGATACTGGGGACATGACAGCTGAACAAGCCACAGGTAAAATCACTAAATTAACTGTGTGTTAGGTATGGGCAGGCGTGGGAAATCAAGGGGAGTTTGTGGATGCTAGCAGATGCTGGAAAATCTAGGACAACATCAAACGCATCTAGTCCCGCGAGGCACAGCGGGCATGAAGGGACAAACGGGGACATGGCTCAAGGTGGGCCTCTCCTCTAGCGAGAGATCCTCTGGGGAAACAACAGGCTAGCATAAGGACAGGGAAAGTTTTCATATTCTGCTAATGGATCCAATACTGAGGATATGGTCACCAGGGGCCTGGTTCTCATTTATGAGTGGCAGGTGTTTTACAAACAAAAGAGGGAAAAGCATCCAGTGACAAAGAGCCTTTCCAACTCTGACTTTCCTATTCTCTGGGTATTTATTCTCCTGCTTGCTGAAACTCTTTTTGGACTGGCCAGGTTATTGTTAGCCCCACAGGAGAAGGAAAAGCACTTTCAATCTGAGCAGAGAGGCTTAGCTCAGCACCTGAGCTGAAGGGCAGATGGTTTGTGTAATGCCAGTTTGAGAGTAAAGGAAAGATAATTTTGAGTACAGTCCAGATCCTTCTTGTCTCTTTTTCTCTTGTTCTCACTGCCTTTCTCTTCCTCTCCTTCTGCACTCTGCAACACACTGCTAATGGTAGAGGCTCTGCCTGCCCCACCTGTTTGCAACACCAAAGCAGTGTCCCAGCCTTCCTAAGCTGAGGAGCCCAATTGCTCGTCATGTCAGGGTTTGGCATGGAAACAGCACTCAGCTCACTCAGAGACAACCTTGAACAAACAAGCTCTCCATTCACCACCAGCTCGCTGCTGACACTGGGTGAGGAGCTGCAGGGAGAGAAGGGGAGTGCCTTTTATCAGGGCTCCATTTGTGAAATACAGAGCCCAGCACATTCTGTGGACCAGAGACACCTTGGAAAACCTAATGCAGGGGAGATTTGTGCTTCTTTCAGGATCACTCCAGCTCTGAAAAAATCTTCTTGAAGTGTGGACTGGCAGGGTCATCCTCCTGAATTAGGTCCTTGGAAAGGAAGATGACTTGGTGGAAGAGAATGGGGACCCTGAGGCTCATCTTTTTACATCATAACAAATCTCCTAGGGCTGTGAAGCTCCTTTTCTATTGAAATTAAAACTGGATACGTCAAATGAAAGGACTCCCAAACTTAACTACTTTCAGGAAGCCAGAGACACTCCAGAGACTTTTCTCACAGATGTGATTTTCTGTAGCATCACAACTTTTTTCACAAATGTCTAATATATACAGTGTTTGGGGGCTTTTTGCTTGGTTGGGTTTTTGTTACTTGTTTGTTTGTTTGTCTGTTTGTTTGTTTGTTTGTTTGTAGGTGCCATTCCAAGTTCTGGAAACCCTAGGGGAGACCTGAGCTTTAGATGGATTCCTTGGACATCAGACAGGCAAACCCAACAGGCTCCACAGATCTATCAAATTTTATGCTGAAGGAACCTCATCTGATAGGCCCCTTAAAAACACAGTTGAGCAACTACATCTTAAGGCCATTTCTACAGGCTATTGTATAAATGTTTCCTGCCTTAGAGCATTTGAGTTTTGAAGCACTGGGATTGTTTAGATTTTCTTAATTTTCAGGTGCCTTGGGCTGTGACACACTGTCCTGAGAGAAGCCCATCTCATGGAGTCCCACACATCATGAGTGGCTGCAATGAATAAGGACAGCAGGAAGTGATTTGAAACTCTCAGTTCAAGGATGATATTTTTTCTAATTCTGTTCTAGTGACACAAATCACTTGTTGGAGAAAAGAGGAGAGCAATGGCTGCTCTAGGGACAAAAATCCCTATAAAAGGTGGCAGAAGCCAGAACAGTATATTCATGAAAGGATGATCCTCTAAAAGATGAAGAAAAAGATAAGAATCCTTTTGGATGTTCCTCCTGCATGCAAAGGAATTTAAAGAAGAAAAAGGCCAAGCATTTGGAGCCTTACAAATAACAAATACGGATGGAGATACTCCTGGTGGAGCTGCAAAGCATTTGCAGAAGTATCTGGGGTCCAGATCTCAAAGCCAGTTGTTCAGACTGTTGTTTAGAAATACAGTAAATCCAGCTTCAGTGTAGCTTCAGAAGCTCTATCAAAAATGCTAAGGCGTGCAACAAAAAACATGGATTTCCTATAAACTCATTTTCCTGCTCAGGGAGCTGCAGGGGAGAAATTTGATCTTTAAGCAGGCGTGGTCTGTTGCTGCTATTCTTTGTCAAGTACTATGTACCAGCTCAAATGCCATGTCACACATTTTGGCTAGTTTGGCAGAAAAAACACTGGGCACCAGTGCTCCATCTAGTTTGGATCCACTCTGCTGGTTGCTTTGGCAGCACATGCATAGGTAGGAGTTGGTGAGGAACCCTGGCCTCAGACTGATAGTGTGTTGGCATCCACTTGGATCTGTTCCTGATGTGGACAGCACCTGTTGCAAGAGGCTTGGGATCCTCTGACAGGTGCTACCGGAATATGCCTGGCTCATGCAGCTGGAGGGCAGGAAATAAGGCAGAGAGGCAGGAAGAGATGGGAAATTGGCACTACTTCTTTCCTTAGGGAAAAAAACATAAATATATATATATATATATTTCTGCATTGAATGAGAGGAGGAGATGGATGCTGAAAGCTGAGCCTAGTCCTGGTAACAAACCATGAATAGCAGCTGGGAGGGACAATACAGCCAAATAACCTGCACCACTCTCTCCTGACCCCCTCCCCTCCTGTCCCCCTTGTTTCCCACGGCCCTGCTCCAGCTCAGGACTCTGCCGTCTCACCTCAGGGTTGAGCTGTCTTGTAAGGACCAGGCTGGACTGGCAGAGTTGGAGGGTCGGGAGCGGAGGGTGGTCGGCAGGTTTTCTTCTCTGGAACTGCAGACTTAACTTCTGCGTGGACTCATGCCCGCGGGAGACATCTGGGAAGAGCGGGCAGAGCCGCTGGGTACTTACATGCCGTCGGGATGTACATTTTCCTCCGCTTCCCCGGGAGAATCCGTGTCATGCTTGGCCCCTTCCCCTTTCTTAAACGCGACAGAGCAGAGCGCTCCCGGAGGGAGCGAGCCCCGCCGAGCGCTACCGGAGGAGCGAGTCCTTCTTCCCGGACTTGCCCATCGCCCCCGCAGTGCCGGGCGTGGGAAGGGCCCGGGGGCGGGCGGGGGATGCGCGGCCCCTCAGCCCCACACCCGTGGGTCTGTGCCCCACGCAACCCCCACCATCGGCGGGGCTCGGGCAGAGGGAGCGGAGCGCCGGTACCGCCGGTACCGGGGGACGGGCGGCGGCAGCCAATGGGCGCCACGCACGGAAACACCGGCAGGAGAAGGAGGGGATGGAGGGGATGGACGACAGGGCAGGAGAACAATGATGAGCGGCGGGAGATACCGGGATGGAGAATAAAAGCGGGAGAGGGAGGCGCAAGGAGATGGGCAAAGGGATAAGGGAAGCGCAGAAGAGGCGAGGATGAAGGAATGAGGAGTGCGGTAGAAGAAGCTGAAGACAGTGGAGGGAAGAGGGAGAGGAAGAAAAGAGGAATGCAGAGAGCAGCTATGGGGTGGGAGAGTGGTGCGCAGGAGGCTCGGCTCTCCTAGGGGCACCCAGGAGACGAGCCCCTGCTCCAAGGGTCCTGCAGGCAGGACTGGGGCTGCTCGGAGCTGCAGGGACACAGCAAAACCTTCTGGCTGGCAGGGTGCTCAGAATTGGGGCGATGCCGAGCACACAAACCCTTCTCCCTTCTGCCCTGTGAGCACCTCCAGATGGATGGAGATGAGGGCAGATGGGCAGATAGGGGACTGTCTGCTTCAACTCTTTCCCTTTCCCTGGCTCCATGCATGATCTCTTTCGCACCTTCTTTGAGAAAATGTTCCAGTTTAACAGCCCCAAACTCTCCCACCAGATTTCATCTCTGCTGGAAGACACAGATCCAGAGTAAACTGATCTAAGAAAGAAATGAGTCTTTGTGTGAGCAGTTGTCCCAGGAAGGATTTTCCCATCCCATTTCCTGCACAAAGGGCTTCCCTGTCATTCTCACCCCCTTTCCTGCCCTGCAGCCAACATCAGTGACTCCCTGAGCTGTGCATCACCCAGTTCTTGACATTTGGCACTGCTATTGTGAGCATTTGAGCCCCTAGGGTAAATTCCAGCTTTAACAAAAGAAGGCAGTATCTCTTCAAGCACAACATAGCCAGGGTCTAAAATCTGGCATCCAAACCCACTTGGGCAACTTTATGTGCAGCCAGTGCTGCTCAAAGATGAGCTGATGAAGGCAGTACAGGACTTCAAAGCTGTCAGGCCTCTTTAGGCTAGAACACGAACACAATGCTGTCTGGAGACACAGAGAGGAGTCCTCATTGGGGAAGGAATCGTATGGGTAGCACCCAGAGGTTTTCTTTACCACGGCAGGGCAGGTGTCTCCAGCACCATGCAGACACCTGCAGCATCATGCAGAAGCCCCCAAGCTCCTTTGTTAGAAGGAACAGAGCCATGCAACAGCAGTTCTACACAGTCCTGCTAACCCTTGCAGGACTTGTTAGCACAGGCACAGTCACAGGATCAGAAATTCCAGGTCTCCAGATCACTTCCTCAGTGCCCTGAGTCGTGTCCCATTCTCTGCCTCAGCTCCAGAGGGGGGCTGTGCAAACTGCTCAAATTGTGTTGGGAAGAGAGCTCAGCCTGTGCACTTCCACAGGTAGGCAGATACATGAATTTTGCTTCACACACATCGTATGCATTGCTGTACGTGATAGGGGATAGGGCAGACCAAAAAGGTAAAAGTCGAGGCTTGAAAACTGGAGAGAAGTAATAAAACACTGGGAATATACTGCTTTGAGTCATGCTTAAGATGCTCAAAGGAGGTTAGATCCCATTTTCAAGTACTTTGTGTCCCTTGCCCTTTCACAGGTACATAGCCCATACCATAGGCTTCATTTTTACTCTTCTGGACTTACATTGACATAATTTACATTACCTTTGGATGGGGCCTTGGAAATTCATCCAGCAGCCCACGTACAATGCAGATATTTGTGGAACTCCCTGCCACAGGATGCCCACCAAGGTTGCTCTGAACTTTATCAGTAGGTAATGTGTCACATCACTGAATTAACTGCCATATTCCATGAATTGAAATTGCAGAAATTTCCCTGGCAGCAGAGTACCTCGAGAGCTTCACTGTGTCTGGCTGTACCTGGCATCACCAATGAACCTCCTCAGTGCAGGAAGCAGCCTTTGAAGCTCAGAAGTGTTGCTGCATTTGTGAGCAGTACTCTGGCTCAACTCCATAGTTTCTCTGTGCCCTCCTAGGACTGCAGGATTTTGCAGTGCCAATCATCACACCCTGAGCCCTCTTCCCTCCTGCAAGCAGTGGCAGTAGCAGCCACCCTGTAACACTTACTCTCAAGTCCCTGCAATGCATCAGGAAAGCAGGTGCTCACAGCTGCCAGATCCATAGTACTGCTGGGACCTCTCTCTTCAGCTTAATTTTAGTGTCTTGGAGGCAATTTGTCTGGACTGGTGACTCATTCCTCCCCCTTTAATTTTTTTCCTTGCCCTCCTCCTTCCTATTCTCACTCTGCCTGTGTCTGGCAGTGTGAGAGAGTGCCAGAGCTTAGGATTAATGCAGCAATGTTTTGGTGAAAAGATGTCCCCAGCAACCTGCGGGGGCAGTCCCCACGGAGAGGACTCTGCATCCAGCCATCCCCTTCCAAAGCCTGCATCCCATCCTCTGCGTGGCACAGAGGGGAGACAACTTTTCCTTTGAACACATGGAGACTGAGAAGAGGAAAGGAAAAAGGAACGCAGGAGGCTCAGCTGAGAACTTAGCAACTTGGAGGATAAATCAGGTCTGGTTTCATCATCCCACAGCAACTGGGGCTCACCAGGCTTGGTGTGGTGCTGCCTGGGTTGTCACTGCTGAAGGAGGGGCACGGCTGGGAGGTGTCTCCAGCCCAGCCATCCCACTGCTCACAGCTTCAGGGCTGTGTCCCGCTGAAGTGCAACACATCACGGACATGACAAGAATGTACAGTCTGTTTATTGGGTCTTACTCACTATGTTGTAATCTCAGGGGCCCGGAAGGAAGGGAAGGGACAGGTGAGGCGAGAATGGGGACATTGTGTGAAGAGACAAACCAGTGCTACAGAACCACAGCAGTCTTTCAAGCTGGCAGAAGTAAAAAGCAATGACCGCCCCAAGGTGCTGAGCTCTGGGTTGCTGGAGCCATCACTCTCCTGTGTGCTGGGCAGCGCCTGGCATCAGGACGAGGCTGGGATCTATAGCCAAAAACATGACAGACCTCATAATACCAGCTCGACTATTTTCCTGCTCTCCCTCCCTCTGCTCTGGTGATGGTGGGTGTATGAATGGGTCCAAAAGGGTCCAAACTAGTTCTCACTCTTCTCTCTCATCAGGCTCTGATCTTGTCCTGAAGCCTCTCTTTTCCTTCTGCTGCCTTGTACTGAAGTGGAGGCAGGTAGGGACAATATAAGGAGTAAGGGAGTCCTGCAGGACAAGCTGCCACTTGCCAATGAACAACACAAAAAAACCCCTTGAGGTGAGCAGGGCTTGGTAAGAGGAAGGGCCACTGGCAACTGTCATGAATAAGGAACAGCTTTTTCTTTTCCTTATTTTTTTTCCTATAGGCAAAGGCTATGGCTTCATAGATCTCAGAGCAGGTCATCCCCAGGGCAGCCTGGATGTAGTTCCCGCTGTGGCAGAAGCTGACAGACAGTTCTTCTCTGTGAGGGTACATGTGGAAAATCCTAGGCTGCCCCATGGCAAGAGATGGGAACAAACTTGTCCACAGTTAAGCAGAAAGGAGGGGGAAGTTGATCTTTCCCCAAGCAGGACTGGCTGTCTCCCTCTCTCTTTTTGAAGGTGACCCATTCCAACAGCCTCACCAGGAACAGAGTGGCCCCGACTGTCTGGGTTCGGGAGCAGGAAAGCACCACTGATGTCAGTGGCAGGGACTGCTGTCAGACTTACCTGGTTAGAGGAGGCTGCATACCCGTTTCTTGGTCCGGGTGGGCTGCGGGCACAGGACAGCTCGGATGGCCTCGTCAAACACCGTCTTGAGGCCGCGCTGCGTCAAAGCCGAGCACTCGAGGTATTTCACAGAGTCTGTCGGGAGGAAAGCAGGGGTTGCAGTGGGGAGGAGGGGAGCTGGGGTAGGCACTGGGGATACCCAGGCCTCTGCTCCTTATGCTGGAAAGCACGGCACCTGGCTCTTGACCAAGCTGAATAAACACATCTCAGGTGATCAAAGACATTACACATTGTCAGGACACATTTCACTCACTCAGACAGTCTTGACTTCAGGGCAAAGCTTGCCAGCTGCACTAGGCCTAGGTTTGTCTATTGGCTACCCATGTAGCCAGAGCAGAGCCATTTTGTGTGTCTGACCACGTTATCCTGGCCAGACACTCTCCCTGCTGAACTCTTTCTAGAAAACTGCCTCAAGCTGTGTTTTTCACCCTCTCTCCTACTTCTGTGTGCCACATCTGAGAAGAGGTGGATGGTGGGGTGAGACACTCATACCTAGGATTGCATATATGAGCCCCAGCAGACAGAGGCATGCACAGGAAACTGCAGTTGCAACTCTTCCTGCGAGAGGTTAAAAGCCTCTCTTCTGCCTCTCTCCGGATACGGAGGAGTGGCCTCTGCCCACAGTGCAGCTGTGGCTTACACAGAAAAAATATTGTCCCAGATAGAACTACGCAGAGTAAAAGGGGAGGAGAATGCGAAAGTGTGTAGCTGTGTGTGTATGTGGAGGATGGTGGCCAGAGACAGGCAGAGGGCTGAGGGGTTGAGTCTGCCTCAAGAAGCAGATCTCTTTCCTGAGTCTCCTGAGGTGCATTTTGTCCCATGACCGTGGAGTCTTGTGTCCCTCAGAGATGCCATTATGGGATACTGCTACAAAAGCCTTGTTAAATTGGGGTGAAGCCCTTTTCTTCTTCCTCTCTCCTTTCAGTAGGTCCAAGACGATTCCCAAACACATACCTATTTCCTTGGCCAGAGCA